CTTTTTAGTGGATAGAAGAAAAATACTACATTGGTCGGTTGGGCTTGACAGACCCGCCGTTTGGCAGGTTTGGCAGGCTTCTGAACCTCCTTACCTCACCACTATCCCAAAGCTGGCTCCTTTTCTGCCTGCGGGGCGGTAGAGCAGGTATTCACCTGCTGCAAGGACTTAGGATGTTGCTGACATTTTTCACAGCGCGTTTATCAGCTATATGTAAATAAGCAGGTAAACGTGTTTAAAAATAAAAAAACACTGTTTACACTCATTTAATGTCAGCTTATTGACCAAATTTCGAAGCAGTTTTGACTACTTTCACCGTTTGTGCTGAAGAGAGCAGTGCAGGAGGGAGCCCAGATGCAATCAAAGAGTTGATACGCTCAAAAAAAAAAAAGCATCTCAGCCTGAATTTCAGCATAGCTGGGACACATTTCCGACTCCTAATATTAACCAAAACACACCATCCACACTGTGAAACATGCTGGTGGCTGCGTTACTAAATGCCTTTATTTATTAGAGGCTGGTAAGCGATAACAGATGTGGAAAAGTCCTAAAAGAAAACATGGCTGACTGTGTGCAGGTTCACCTCATACAGAGAGAGACCCTAAACATAAATATTCAATGCTAGCAGAATAGCAGGCTGCTTAGTGGCGCAGTGGGTAGCACTGCTGCCTTGTAGCAAGAAGGATCTGGGTTTGAATCCCGGCTCGGAGTGTTTCTGCAATGTTATCCCTGAGCATGCATGGGTTCTCTCTGGGTACTCTGGCTTCCTTCCACAGTCCAAAACCATGACTGTTAGGTTAATTGGCTTCTCTAAATTCTCCTTAGATGTGGATCTGAATGGTTGTTTGTCCTGTGTGTCTCTGTGTTGCCCTGCGATGGACTGGCAACCTGTCCAGGGTGTTCCCCGCCTCTCACCTGTAGACAGCTGGAGATAGGCACCAGCACCCCTTGCGACCCCGCTTGGAATAAGCGTGATGGGAATTAGATGGAATTGGTGCTTCAGATGTTAATGTGTTATATCATGGCCTTCTCAAAGTCCTGATCTAAATCCATTTGTGAACCTTTTGCAGGACTTTAAATTGTGTTTACCTCTCTATCTAATCTGATGGGACTTTTAGTTACTTTGTATTTTCAATATATAGATCAGCAAAACTGGCAGAGACCTACCGTAATCAGAGGGTGTAACTGCAGAAGAATGCTTGGTTTTCACACTTTTAAGATTTTCAGCATTGTGTTGATGTACTAGTTATTATTATTAGAATAAACTATATGTGATTCACAAAATATGGGGAAAAAAGCTTTTTCTCTATTGAAAGCTATTGGAGATATCACCATATTTTTCTTTTTTTTACAGTTTGCTGGAGGACCGAGTGAACAGGTTACATGGCCAGCTCCAAAGAACCCAGCAGCACCTTATGGCCTCATCCGACCCGGCATCCGTCGATCGTAAAGTCCTTGATGACCTGTATGAGGACATCCACTGGCTCATACTGGTCTCAGGTCAGCGTCGGTTCTACCTTTTTGAATAACCTTGCTTTGGTTTTTAGTCACGCTTGGATCAAAAGTGGTTTTAGAAATCCGATCCACACTGGAGTCACTGAGCAGACTTTAACAAGAAGTCATGTAAGGGAGATATACAATAGAAATGTTTTATTAAAGTCAGAAATGACTTTTCCAGTGGGGTTTATTAAAGTTTACTGGCTGTATTTATAACGCAGAGAAACCACACCGGGCTGCGGCTTTCTGACATGCTGTCTGCGTCCTTCTATCGTCTCAAAGCTTTACTGAGGTTTACAGCCAATTAACTTACACTCTAGACGGGGCGTGCCCTCTTTAAAGGGAGATACTTTTTAATTGTTTTTATAGAGTTGAACTCTCTATATCTGAGCGCTTGGAAAAATTATTACCCAACGTTCAGACATAATGACTTCATAGGCTACTAGTCTTATTTATTGTGTTAATTTGAGGTTTTAATATTTTAATAACAGGGAAAAAAGTTATTTTATTGTTTGCTTTAGGTGTGTGATGCAGTTTTAAATGGTTTAGAAAGTTATTTAGAGTTTAAAAATAAAACAGCTATTTCTTAAATAGCTAATAGTTTTGGTAAACAGTAGCACTTTTATGAGCTTCTATCCCGCTCTCTCCAGGTTATCTCCTGGCAGACGATCCTCAGGGCGAAACCCCTCTCATCCCCTCGGAGGTGATGGAGTTCTCCATCAAACACTCAACAGAAGTCGACATCAACACAACGCTACAGATCCTGGGCTCTCCGGGGGAAAAAGCCTCCTCCATACCGGGATGCAACCGCACAGACTCCGTCATCAGGTGCCGTTTCTGGGTCAGACGGGTTGTTTGTAAATTCTGTTGGAAAAGTGTCACATATGTTCCTTACAGTTGCTATTGGGCTTTAACAGCTCAGTTTGAGAGTAAATTAAAACTACGTCTGACTGGAATCTAGAGCAACAGGTTCCCAAATTGTTCACAATCATTGAATATGAAGTATAAGGATGGCCAAAATGCATCATAGTGTACATCAAAGTGAATGATGCAATAAAATGTAACATTTATTTATCTAATGCAGGGTTCCTTCAGATCCTTAAAAAGTCTTAAAAGGCTCTGAATTTATAAATAAAGAAAATAAGGCCTTCATTGGTAATAAATGCATTAAATAATGCATTAAAATTGTTTCTTATTAATTAAAATTTACCTGTTGATAATAACTACTATAAATGTTTTGCCATATACAGCTTCTGACGGCTTGTTAAAGCTTTCACATTCACATTTCCTGTTTTTAAGTATTCGAAGAAATAGTATGATTTTAAAAAAGCCAAATGGAAAGTAGAGGAAGTATAATATACTTTAATTCTAAAGCAGTTTTAACCCTAAAAATAAAATAAAGTTGCACTTGTGTGTTGCCATAATTTGCTTTTTGTTCTCCTTGGATTAATTCAGTTTCAAACTAAAAGAAAATGAAATAAATTAGATTTAAAATTTTTATTTTTACTGCTGTTATTTAAAGGTGTAGTGGAGGGTGTTCGGGGTGGATCATCTCAATAAGTGGTCCTCCTATTTGTCAATTATTCTGTATGTTTACGTAAGGCCGTTCTTACGTGCTCGTCCCCATTTCCACCTGCCGGTGGTGAGCCTGACATTGTAGAAAAATTGCAAATCTTCTTTTGGAAAGTAAGCTTGTATGAATGATGCAAACAGCAACTTTTAATCAGAGCGTGCACGAGGAGAAATGGGCTTGTGCACGCTCTCTCACACGTTTGATAGGCGTTCCTTCTATGGAGCAGGTACAGGGAAGTGAATGTGCATTTGCATATAAAGTAGGGAGGGCGGATCTTCTGAAAAATTTGTGAAAGTCCACCACTATACCTTTGTATAAAAGCTGCAAACCCTGTTTATTTTACTTCTCTTGGAAAGTAATAAAATAGCATTTCATTA